CTTCCAAACTGAGTAACACTGCTTCATACTGTTTGAGGACTGAATGGACTGCTGTAACTCGCACAGTCCAGCGTGTAGGACACAGTGGCTTCAGTGTGATAAAAGATCCATGTTCAGATGTTGCAATGTTGCAGAAAATGGTCTTGAACTTTCCTGAAAGTCCAAACAGATGTCCTAATTCATGGACCCACTGCAGTGCATCACGCACAACAGAAGAGGCTGCACAGGTTGCCTGTGTTATTAAATTAACACAGTGAGGACCACAGTGTGCAAACAGTGCCAGTGGTTGTGCTTGTGTAAGATAGGCCTGTGCACCGGCATATTTTCCAGACATATTTGCTGCTCCATCATACGTCTGTCCCCGGAGTCCATCAAGAGCAAGCCCCCACAATGCCGCTCTAAAAATGGTCCCATCCCGGAAGTAAGAAAAATTGCAGTTCCACCCTCATCCGCTGGGGGCTGGTACCAGAAGCGAGCAAATCCTCATTGACCCCCATGTTAAAAATGCCATTTTCACAGCAGAAATAAACATGTTTACAGCCTGGTTCAAAAAATGTTTTTTTGTCTAAATTATCTAGTTTATACTCATGACAACTCTGAGGGGGGTGAATTTTTTTCTCACTCTTCTGTTTAAGTGTATTGAAAGCCTAAAATTCTGTATAATTAATGAGCATCCGACACACGTGACCGCCGCCTCAGACCCACGTGACCACATAGCTAGCTCCGTGGAAAGGCCTCAGTACAGCCTCGGTCTCTCCTGGAAACTGTGTCGGGATTTTGAGTCTCTGTGCTTGTGAATTCTGTTTTGGATAATATTGGTGCAATTGTTGGACAAAATGACTTGCTGTGGTATTAATTGCACTAATAGAGCGTCCAAGGAGTCTCCACTTCATTTTTTTCGGTAAGTTAAAATCTATATTTGTATTTTATGTCACTGCTGCCTAGCTGAGTTTACCGAAGTAGCTAGCTAACTATCATTTTAACGTGTAGCATGTACTGTTTAACCATGAAATTTAAATGTAAAATACGGTAAAATAATTAATAGGGCATATTTCGATGGGTAAAAGGGTAAAACCCAGTGCATTTAAGATAAAAATGGGTTGAAAGATGACGCAGCGCGCCGCTTGGAGGGACACCTGTGCTCCATTCTTTCATCCGGTAATCCCCGACCGATGCGGCGCCTACTTGCTGCGCCTAGCTGCTGCGCGGTCTGACCGCTCATGGAGTTTTTCATGTCTGACTTTAACCGCATCTAATACTGTATTACGGCGTGAGCGCAACAGCGACAACTTAATATCGATGTGTAAGCAGCCTGAGTGGTAGGGTGTTTTCATCTGAACCCTTAAAACCTCCAGCAGGCTACGCTGCACTATTGACGTGTTCGCGCGCGGCGCTAACAACTTAGCAACGTGACATGTCTCTGAGAAAGCGTAAAACACGGACGCTTCTTCTGAAGCGGAAAATAACACTTCTTCTTAAGCAGAGCAGGATGTCGCCTCGGCTCATTCACGGCCGAGCCGGACTGAGCTCGATAACATTGACCAAGCACAGCCACTGGGCCGTTGTAGCTGCCACCAGGCCTGCTGAAGGAACTCCAGCGGGTTTCATCAGACTCGTAAAGTTTCTTGTTTTTGCTGGGGATTTCTGTATTTTACCGCTCCCTCCTGCAGTCTTCCCCTATTAAAATTTAAAATGTGTAACTTCATGTATTGTGATGAATGACTAATATTCATGTAAAACTAAAACGTTAGGCATTTAGGGGGAAAAAACAAAATAATAAACATTATACAGATGTCAAATAAATCAAACTGTAATTAAACTATATATTTTCAAAGTCATATAGACAGCATGATGGTTTGTGTGATCCGCGCGGTTTCACTTACACCCCTTTAATGATCAGGCTGTTTTTTTTATTTTTATCAGCTGATAGCAGTTAAAATTATGGTAAAAAATACTTTTATCTGTTTTTGATAACTTAATGCCCAGGAAGAACATCTTCTCTAGACATTAAATATAACCCAAATGTTTTATTATGAGCAGATCTGATGAAGGTGTAGACAAGCAGTCTGCAAAGTAAAACTTGTTTAGAGTCCAAACTCTTACTAAAGCTTTTGAAAAGAAAAAATGGTTGAATTTTGAGAAATATCCACAACAGGGGAGCGAGACCTCTGAAAAATGTATATTTTCTCTGAATTCATAGAATAATGTGAAGATTCTGGGAAAAGTTGGGATTCTGAGATTAAAACGTAAATCTTTCTAATCATAATTCTGGCAGTTTTTGTGTCCTTCTGCTGTGGAAAGTCGTGCAACATGAAGATACTGAGAAGATGCTTAAAACCTGTATTTTTATTCCATCCATAAATAAAATCCTGAGCTATTTTTTTAATCCAAATTTGATCCAAAGGGCCATTGTTGGTTCCAGACCCGTTCTAGAACATTCCTCTAATCTTAAAGTCATCATCAGTTTCTTCCTTTTAACAAATATTTATTTGTTCAAATATTTAATATTTATAACTGGAATATTTGTTCCTCCCTCTCCCACTGCAGTTAGTCCTGTCCTGCAACCCTGTTTTTGCAGCTTAGTGAAGCCAACCATCACTAACCTGGGGGTGGTTTTGGACCCAGAGATGCGGATGGACTCCCACATTAGCCAGGTGGTTAGATCCTGCTTTTCCCGGCTTCGTCAGCTACCAAAGATGAAGTCCATCCTGAAAGACGTGTCATATTTTCTCCCCAAGCCGGACCTGACCGTCATGTATCGGTCCAAAATAGTGTGATGATATTGTGTTTTTTGTACATAACAGACTTTTTAACAGACAAATTTGTCGCATTCTCCTACACCTCTTCACGGGCTCGCCACAGTAAATATTCTATTTGGCGAGATATAAACTTTATTGTATTCAGGGTATATACAGCAATCCTTAAGTAAAATTTACTACTTTTTAATACTTTTTTTACTACCTTCAGAATTTTTTTAAAACCATCACAACACTAAATTGCAAGTGTTAATCAGTGACCTATTTACACATTTTTTAACATATATAACATACAAAAAGAATAGACTTAGAGACTCACTGATGTTTACAACGTATTGCACATATTTATTTTACTTAGAAAATAAGCCAGGCACTTCTGTTCAGCGGTTCAGACAGTTGACCACGAGGCCTGAAATGATGCACAACGACCACTAAATATGACGTCATCATTATGTGACCGGATATGCTAAAGTAGGGCTGCTCGATTATGGCAAAAACAATAATCACGATTATTGTGACTGAAATTGAGATCTCGATTATTTAAGACGATTTTTCAATTTATGTAGATTTTTATTTTTTTATTTTTATTCAGTCATAAAACTGCTCAGGGCACAATCAGGGCAAAAATAAACAACAAGATGATCACTAAAATAACTCCTGATTCCCAGTATAAAAAGACTAATATACTTATAGCTCATAGTTTATGACCCAAGGGCTATAGACCTTGGTTTAACTCATTTAAGTCTAACCAGTACAGACCCAAATACCAATATCTTGCAAATACTGACAGCAAGAATTATACAGTGGCATTTATAACAAATAAATGCAAATTGCTGTTCACTAAATGTTGCATAACATTTATTGAGTCATGTCAAGGTGCTGTAGGAGAGTGCACTAGCACCATGTCCTCAGAGAGATTAGTTATTATTTATCAGCGTGAGGAACTTATTTCTACCTTATTTATAAACTATTTATTTACAAGTCCATCAGTTAATGTAATAATTGTCCCAACCACAGTTGCACCCCCACCCCCCAACCCGGTCTCAGCAATCAGGGGCAAGCTGCACGTGTGTTTAGCGCGCCGCACGCGCACATTTAGCCGTTTTTATCGGCTCAGGAGTCCGCAGGTGCGGTGTGTGTGTCACTCACTCTGGTTACTCCAACAGGGAGCCGGCTCCGAGAGCTGTTTCTTTAGCGAATGACACATCACTACATCATTCCCTTTCCTAATGTCCTGAAGAACGTCCGGAGTGCAGGCGGAGAGTTTAGCTAACCTGCAGGAAACGTCGACGATAGTTATCCAGAAAGTAGCTAAGGGTTACCAGAGATGTTTCTGAGGTGTTTGCTAGGTACTTTTAAGATTTAAAAAGTCAAGAAGCGGGTCTGAGAAGCTGTTAGAAATAGCGTCAAAGTCGCCAAGTTAACTTGGCAACACTGGGAGGAGCGCTTCATTTGCAACTCAAGGCAGCGCAAGTGGGAGGAGCAAATAATCAGCTTGTTTTGTTTTTATAATCGTTCAAAACATTTCATTCGGAATATATTTCTATGTCGATGTTCAGAATACGACATCTGATAGTCTGAAAAAAATAATACCTAATTTGGAAAAAATAATACCTCTGAGACCAAATTTAACACTTTTAATGGCCTTAAATTTGACTATTTTTATTTATCACTTTTTAATACTTTTTAAAACCCCGCGGACACCCTGTGTATTTATCCTAGTGAATCTATAATTAAACGGGTAAACTAGTATTAGCACATCCAACATCAAAGAAAGTAAAATGTTACTATCAGGAGAGGGAGAATGTTTAAGTGGTTAGCAGCAGTGTGCTAGCCAACGGCCCCCTCCATGAGGCCACCACAGCTCAGCAAAACGTCATTGTAGCTTCTTCTGGGGAGAAAAACACTTAGAGAAAAAATAAAGTTAACAGCTGAAATAGCAGGAAATAATACAGTTAAAGAGCAGATTGTAGAAGAAAGAAACCCCTGGGTTAAACTGGTCTGTCTACTGCATAATGCTGAACTCTAACATGTGTCCTCAGGGAAGGACCTGATTGGTGTCCAGAACCTGCTGAAGAAGCACCAGGCTCTGCAGGCTGAGATCACAGGTCATGAACCTCGCATCAAGGCTGTCACCCAGAAAGGAGAGACCATGGTGGAAGAAGGTAGAGCAGGTCTGGTCCTGACATGTTTCTGAGGTGTCTGCAGGTTCTGGCTCACTTTTTTTGGGTCCAGGTCACTTCGCTGGTGAGGAAGTGAAGACTAAACTGTGGGAGCTTCATGGACGTTGGGACACGCTGAAGGCCAAGGCGTCCCAGAGGAGGCAGGACCTGGAGGACTCTCTGCAGGCCCAGCAGTACTTTGCGGATGCTAATGAGGCCGAGTCCTGGATGAGGGAGAAGGAGCCCATCGTTGGAAGTCCAGACTAAGGGAAAGACGAGGACTTGGCCGAGGTATGGAAGTCCCTTCCTGAGAAACTCCAATCGCTTTTCTTTGCTCTCTTTCCAGTCCTTCATAATTAGTGTTTCTGTATTTGTCATTTCCTTCGGTTGTCTACCAGACGCCGTTGCTCGTTTGAGCGTCTCATGGGTTAGGGGTAGAAGTGCTGGCCTCGCACAGGAAGTGATGACAAACGTGTTCCCGTCGCTCTTATTTCAAACGGTTTACAAGCTGTGATGTGTGTTCCCGCTGCAGAGCAGCCATGACACGTGGCAGCCGGCAGAAGGCTCACGCTTTTCCACTAAACACCCGCAGAGCTGCGTCTGCGGTGAACTGAGCAGGGTTTGTTTTACAGTGGCGGATCCGATTGGACCATCGCTGCGAGAAAGCTCCACTTGTGTCAGACGAGCTGAAGGTTCTGATGTTCTGCTCCACAGGCTCTCCTGAAGAAGCACAAGGCCCTGATGTCGGACCTGTCGGCTTACGGCAGCAGCATCCAGGCCCTGAAGGAGCAGGCCCAGTCCTGCAGGGTGAGTTCAGAACCCTCGGCCCGTCAGAACATTCTTGTCCACCACGTTCTAACACCAGACCTGTTAACCCAACAGCAACAAGGTAATCAGCAGGTGCTTTTGTCCTGCAGGACCTGAAGGCCAACGAGTCCCGCCTGAGGGACATCAACAAGGTGGCATCTGAACTGGAGTCAGAAGGTCTGATGGCTGAGGAGGCTCCTATGGTTCAGGCTCAGGTGAGCGTCACCTGTCTGCAGCAGCTGGTCCCTCTCACTTCCTGGTTTAACTCTGCTCGTCTCTGTTTGTAGCAACAAGAACATCTGGGTTCTGCTCCTGGAAAGGTGCATGTTGTCCTCCGCCTCAACCAGAACCAGACGTGGTGTTTATGTTACCACTCATTTGTTTGTTTACAGGATGAAGCCGACTCTAACACGGCGTCACCCTGGAAGGTGAGTTCATTCAGCTGATCAGAGGTCACCTCTGATGGCAGCAGTCACGGCCGACCGTGCTGACATCACACAGGAATTCAGGTGACCCGGCAGGCACCAGGTGCTGGTGAAAGTGGGGACATGTCAGCTGGTTGCCATGGCTATAGTTATCTTTATGCATCTGTATGACTGCTGACTGGTGTGTGTTTCCTGTGACCTTTGACCTCAGACCGTACGGTTGGGCGTTCAGACGACGACTAACTTTAATTCCATCAAGGTAAGAGGAAGCTCTTCCCTTCCTGTCTGAGCGATCCGTCTCCAGGTTTCCTTGTCCGGCGTCCAGCCCGCTGGCATCCACCTTCATCTCACCTTCAACTCATCTCACTTCATTTATAGTGCAATACTTTCACATTATCATTTTCCCACACTTCTGTATACCTGTATTTTGTTATTTTTCAATAAAGAATGACAAATTATTTAAGTTTGGTTTTTGTTGCACACAAATATATATCTGTAAAAAATATCTACAAAGCTAATGTTTACATAACAAGTATGATTGGGTTTGGCAATACGGCACTCAAGTTTATTTTAGTAAGATTTTCAAACCAAGTAAAGTTAGTAAAGAACACATTTCTATTGTCTGCTAAGAAACTGTTGGGATTTAAAATGGGCCTGTTGTACAAATAACTTATAAATGATTATTTCTCACTTTTGTCTTAACCAAAGAAATTCCAGTAATTGAGCAAAAACATTTATTTTTAACACTACATTTTATAAAACAGGGCACAGTGTCGGCACATGTATGTATGTCGATGGTCCGCCCCAACCAAACCAAGAGACACAGACGTAAGGGGGGCCAAGGTTGTCTCTGCAGCTCTCTGGGCACCACGCCTCACTCAGCTGTCTCCAATGATCCAAATGGCTATGGAGGAAAAAAAATGTAATAAAAGAATGAAACTTAAAAACTCCCAAACCTCATGTCATATTTACTAATCAGCTATGGCTGATTTGTTTGGATCACAGTGAGTTACACTAATTCTAATATATTTTTATTTCTATTATACATACATACTTTTTAACTGTTATTTTCACATGACTGTTATCAGGCTCTCTTGTTCTGGTTCTGATGATAACTCTGTGTCTTCCAGTAAGTTATCTTGTGCTTACTTCATCTGTATAATGTCTCTTTACTTTTGGTAAATTGTACTGAGTCCAGAATAAAGACTAGTTGGCTGTACAAGATACAAACAAGTATTACGTTTTGGAAATATATGAAACACCGCCAGCATCTGTTAAGAGCCTGTGGCGGGGTGCTGAGGGCCGGCTCCAGCCCAGGAATGAGCTCTACACGCCGGCCGGGAGGGTTTGAAACACCGCCATCCTCTCCTCTGCTGGCTGTTCATTCTGTTATGGTTACCGGTGCTTGTGTTGCAATGTGAAACGCTTGGTCTCAGATTTTGTAAGAAAGATAATAAAATGTCCCCCCAAAATACGACTTAAATATATTTTCTCTTCTTCATGATACATTTAATGGCTGGTGCGACTCAGGAGTGATAGCGCAGAAAAAAACTGTACTGAAAACTTGCTCAAAGCAAAATGTATTCATTACGGAAATAAATTATAAACTTACCGATTTAAAACTTTTTTAATACTACTTCTCACGAACAGGCGCAGAAAACCTCCACCTAAACTCCGTGTGAGGTTCAGGTCGATGGGTGTTCCAGTTAGCTCCGGTTGGGTTGAAGCTAGGTGGCTACATCCGTTAGCTCGGCTCCCACCTCCGCTTTAGCTTTGGTTTAGCCAGGGTTAGCTTCAGGTTAGCTCGTAGCTAGTTCGCCTGGGTGTCGTCACTCGAGCCCAGCCTTACAGCCACACCCTCAGCGCCTCCTCTCTTCCCTTTTATGGAATTGTCTGGGCTGGACGGAACCTGTGACACAGTCAAAATGGCGGTGGTGGCCACCTCCCATTATAGACAACAAACGTGTTATTGAAGCCAATGGAATCCGTTTGTCCAGTATATGTACAGTCTATGATCAAGAGACAACTTGAGACGAAGCAGCACATCTTTGGCCACATTTGCAATGTTTTGTCCTGTTGTTGTCACGAACTGAACTCTGAAGACCCGTGAAGACGCCAAACACAGTAAAAAAATTGATTAAAAAGTCTTTATTTTTAGTAGAGTTACCAGAGTAGGGCGAGGCTGAGGCAGGGTCAGAGACAGGCAAGGTCCAAATGGCAGGCAGCGAGCAAGGCAGGGGTCAGGAGAAAAAACACGGTCTGGAGACAAAGATCAGGCAGGGTGGATGGCTGGAAAACTACTGGCAAGGCTGTAATAATCTGGCCGGGAACTGGTGGTTTGCTGGTGAATAAATAGTAGGGGAAGCAGGTGTGTGAGATGAGCTGATGAGTGAGGATCAGGTGAAGTGGATGAAGCTGATGAGGTGTAGGTCAGGTTGCTGTGGAAACCAGGGCTTGGCTGGAGCTTGGTGAAGGGACCAGGTGAGCTGAATTAAGGTAGAATGAGGAAGTGGAGGAGGGTGAAGGACGGGAGTCATGACAGAAACCCCCCCCCCCCAAGGGCGGATTCAAGACGCCCACAGGAAACCAGAGCAGGGCGGGAGGAGGGGGACCAGGAGGGAGGGCCAGAGCAGGGCGGGAGGAGGGGGACCAGGAAGGAGGGCCAGAAGAGTCTGGGGGGCCGGCGACGGGGAACCAGGAGCTGGGACAGCGGGAGTCTGGGGGGCCGGCGACGGGGAACCAGGAGCCGGGACTGCGAGAGTCTGGGGGGCCGGCAACCGGGAACCAGGAGCCGGGACTGCGGGAGTTCTGGGGGCCGGTGACGGGGAACCAGTAGCCGGGACTGCGGGAGTCTGGGGGTCGGCGACGGGGAACCAGGAGCCGGTACTGTGGGAGTCTGGGGGGCCGGCGACGGGGAACCAGGAACCGGGACTGCGGGAGTCTGGGGGGCCGGCGACGGGGAACCAGGAGCCGGGACTGCGGGAGTCTGGGGAGCCGGCGACGGGGAACCAGGAGCCGGGACCGTAGGAGTGTGGTGATAGAGGACACTGGTGGTCGAGGACTAAGAGGGGACTCTGGACCAAGACTAAGACTAAGAGAGGACATTGGACCAAGACTAAGACTAAGAGGGGACACTGGACTACTACTAAGAGGGGACTCTGGACCAAGACTAAGACTAAGAGGGGAAACTGGACTACTACTAAGAGGGGACTCTGGACCAAGACTAAGACTAAGAGGGGACACTGGACTACTACTAAGAGGGGACTCTGGACCAAGACTAAGACTAAGAGGGGAAACTGGACTACTACTAAGAAGGGACTCTGGACCAAGACTAAGACTAAGAGGGGACACTGGACTACTACTAAGAGGGGACTCTGGACCAAGACTAAGACTAAGAGGGGACATTGGACTACTACTAAGAGGGGACTCTGGACCAAGACTACGAGGAGACTCTGGGCCAAGACTACGAGGAGACTCTGGAGCAAGACTAAGACTAAGAGGGGGCACTGGATTACTACTAAGAGGGGACTCTGGACCAAGAGTAAGACTGAGAGGGGAAACTGGACCAAGACTAAGACTAGGAGGGGAAACTGGACTACTACTAAGAGGGGACTCTGGACCAAGACTAAGACTAAGAGGGGACACTGGAGTACTACTAAGAGGGGACTCTGGACTACTACTAAGAGGGGATACTGGACTACTACTAAGAGAGGACACTGGACTACTACTAAGAGGGGAAACTGGACTACTACTAAGAGGGGACTGTGGACCAAGACTAAGACTAAGAGGGGAAACTGGACTACTACTAAGAGGGGACTATGGACCAAGACTAAGACTAGAGGGGACACTGGACTACTACTAAGAGGGGACTCTGGACCAAGACTAAGACTAAGAGGGGACACTGGACTACTACTAAGAGGGGACTCTGGACCAAGACTAAGACTAAGAGGGGAAACTGGACTACTACTAAGAGGGGACACTGGACTACTACTAAGAGGGGACACTGGACTACTACTAAGAGGGGACACTGGACTACTACTAAGAGGGGAAACTGGACTACTACTAAAAGGGGAAACTGGACTACTACTAAGAAGGGACTCTGGACCAAGACTAAGACTAACAGGGGAAACTGGACTACTACTAAGAGGGGACTCTGGACCAAGACTAAGACTAAGAGGGGACACTGGACTACTACTAAGAGGGGACTCTGAACCAAGACTACGAGGGGACTCTGGACCAAGACTAAGACTAGAGGGGACACTGGACTACTACTAAGAGGGGACTCTGGACCAAGACTAAGACTAAGAGGGGACGGGCTGGGCCTGAGCCTCTTGGATAGGCTGGGCCGGGACCGGGGCCTCTTGGACCTCATCCGTCGAAGCAGGATGCGATGCGTCCACCTGGACCACCACCGAGACAGGATGCAACGCATCCTCTGGGACCACCGCCAGAGCAGGATGCGATGCGTCCTCCGGGACCACCGCCAGAGCAGGATGCGATGCGTCCTCCGGGACCACCGCCAGAGCATGATGCGATACGTCCTCCGGTACCACCGCCTGAGCAGGATGCGATGCGTCCTCCGAGACCACCGCCTGAGCAGGATGCGATGCGTCCTCCGAGACCACCGCCAGAGCAGGATGCGACGCATCCCCCGGGACCACCGCCAGAGCAGGATGCGAAGCGTCCCCCGGGACCACCGCCAGAGCAGGATGTGATGCGTCCCCCGGGATCACCGCCAGAGCAGGATGCAATGCGTCCCCCGGGACACCCGCCGAGGCAGGATGCGATGCGTTGGAGGGTTCTGGGGAAGGTGACCACCTCTCACAGCAGGTCAGACCCTCTGTGGCGACATCCTTCAGTGCAGACCCATATACGCTCCGGACATAAAGGTAGTAATTACCAAGTGCTGGGACTGCTATCAACTCTGGATGGGTGGAGAAGATGACATTCAACCTTTCAGCCTCCCGCAGACGTAAGTGGGGGCAGGTTTATGTTTATGTGCTTAGCAGATGCTTTTACCCAAAGCAACTTACATTTTTTTAACCTATAGGGCATGTTGTGATCTGTGGGGGAAACCGGAGTACCCGGAGGAAAACCCACGCATGCATGGGGAGAACACGCAACTCCACGCAGAAAGGCCGCAGCCAAGTTTCGAACCTGCGACCTTCGTGTTGCTACTACTACTAGTAATAATAATAATAATAATACGAATAAATTGTGTCTGAGGAGTCAGTTATGTGGAGGAGATGAGTTTGTAAAAGTTAGTTTTGAGTATGTTTGTGAAGGAGGAGGTGAGTGAGCTTAATGCAGGGGTGTCACATGTTCCAACTTACGTTTTGACTTTGAAAGAAGTCTCTTATATCCACTTTTCGTTTTCTTGACATGCTGCCGCCCGGCTGTGCCTAACTACCAAAGACTCACAAATGAACACTTATTCAAATGTTATATAATGGAAGCTGAGCTGAGCTCTGATATTACACAGCGTCTAGTTGACGATGTGACTCAGTACCGGTGTTCCCTAGCGGCTCCAAACTAGCAAAACAACGTGAGCACGTTCCGACTGTTTACAACTTGGAGTGACAGCAGCAACAGCCAGCAAGTATCAGCAGAGCCAATAGATTAGCTTTTGGGCGGGTCTAATAGGAAACCGGTTTCCGTTTCGGTCCTAGTGCTCAACCAAATCCATTTAATGGAGCGTAATATTGTTTTTGGATGGAAAAAAGTGCAGGTGACCAAAACTGCCTTTTGAAAAAGTGTGTGTGTGTGTGGGGGCCCCCCCCCCAAAAAAATTACGTCACACGATGTGACTTCTACCCTGTGGGACAGCTTGCTTACGTGGCTGCAGGTTTCTCTTACAGCTCTTATTTTATACATTTTAACCTACAATTTATCGTTGATGTTCTATGATGTGCTATGTATTCTGTTTCAGTTTCCTGTGGTTTAAATTTGTTATCATGCCTCGCTGGCTTTTAAGTTTCTACTTTATGTTTCTACTACTATAATGGCTGTGCAGCACTTTGGGGTAAGGGTGTTGCCTTTTAAATGTGCAATATAAATAAATATTGACTTGACTAGTATGCTTAGTACATAACTCTAAGGAGGTAAATTTTATATTATTGTATTTCTACAGGAACTAAGTTATACTTGACTATTATATGCTATATATGGTGGGTTCTCCCACGATCTCACCTGTCTCTGGCTGTTTATGGAGGTCGGTTTTAAGCTTTAAGGTTTAAGGACGCTAGGATTCAAAAGTCTTAACTTTCATTAGGTCGTTATCTCCACTTTGGCTTGCCAAGGCTCTTTACCGGTTCAATTTTATTCATTTCTTGTGGCATAACTGGGTCATACGTCTTATTTTTGTCCTGCTTTTGGTTTAAGGTGCTGATTTTGTGTTGTGTTGACACTGAGGGCTGAAAATTAGTCTTTCTAGCATCAATTTTCTCAGGTTCTACATGTCTGTAAATGATAAATTCCCTACTCTTTGAACTACGGTCGCTAGGCCTCTTTTCAGATAATTTCTGACTTGCCTTATTCTCCTCAATGAGCCTGTTGTTTTCCTTCTCAAGTTGTGTTATTTTGTTTTCTAACGCTCTGTTTATGAGTTGTACTTCCTTTACTCTTGCCATCTGGGTTTTACAGTCCTTCAGCTCGCTGGCAAACATTACCTTCTCAGCTGTTACTTTTTTCAACTGTTCTGTGTTTTGCTTTTTATCTTCAGAAGCTAGGAGCAGCTGACCTTTCACCGTCTCCAGCTCTAACGTTGTCTCACGCTTCTCCTTAACTAACTTCACATTGGAGTTATTCAGTTTCTCCAGCTCTAACGTTGTCTCACGCTTCTCCTTAACTAACTTCACATTGGAGTCTTTCAGTTTCTCCAGCTCTATCGTTGTCTCACGCTTCTCCTTAACTAACTTCACATTGGAGTCTTTCAGTTTCTCCAGCTCTAACGTTGTCTCACGCTTCTCCTTAACTAACTTCACATTGGAGTCTTTCAGTTCCTTAATTTCCTTCTGTAAGTCCACAACTGAATCATTAACTTTGAACAACAGTTTTCTAATACTGTTTGTTTGGATTCCAGATTTTCTCATGTTATCCTTTAGCTCACTTTCCTGGTTCTTACATTCTTGGATAGTTTTCATCAAGCCAGAAATTTCATTCTCTTTCTGTGTCTGCAGAGATTTGATTTGGTCGTCAAAAGCTTCTCGTTGAAATTGGGAATCTTGAAGTTGCTTTCTCAGATTATCAATCTCAATTTGCTGTTTTCTGTTCTTAGCTCTTTCCTTTACTAATAATTTCTCAGTAGATTTTAAATCTACCCTGAGGCTTTTATTAATCCCATATTTTACACAGATTTTGGCTATAACATCATCTTTAATCTCTTCTTCCTGCTGTAAGCTATCCATGTTTCTCTCTTCTAAACTATGGCTCTCCACCTCTTGCTTATATAAACAATCCTTCAACTTGTCATTCTGTTCCCGTTCATAGGCCAGAAAATCTTCAAGCTCTTCAATTTTTTCATGGCATGCTAAAAGCTGATCTGTTACGTTTGAGCACTTGTCCAACTTATTTTTGACTAACCTGCTGTCTTTATTAATTTGGATAATCAGTTCCTTGTAACGAGCTTGTTTCTTTCTCTCAATAGCAAGCTTTTCTTGAAGTTTCACAAATTCTTGATGGAGTGTCTGAAATTCGTCATCTTTTTTCTTTAATTCTGACTCCATCTGCTGTTGGACATCAGAATATTGACTTTGTGCTTCTTCAAATTGTTTTTTGAGGTTTTTGAATTGAATCTCCTTTTTACGTGCATTCTCTTTAAGATCATCAATTTCTTGTGATTGGTTAAAAACAAACTTTAAAAGAGTTCCCTCTTTTACCTGGTATGGCTTAACAGAAGTTGTTTCCTGAGGCATTTTGAAATCAGCCGATCTGTCACACTGCATAGGTCTGGTCTCACTAGTTAAGCTTGGTCTGTGTCAGTGTTATGCAAATGAGTGCAGTAAAGTTCCGTGGTTTATGATGTCATCAGATCAAAGGGCAAATCATCTCCCCAGCAGATCACAACTATAATACCATGGAAACAAGGAAAACAATGCAGGTTGCATGCTGACTGTTGCCAGGCAACCAGCCTGCTGGTTTGTTTTTATTTAACAATCTTGCTAAATACAAAAAAGTGGTGCAAAAAGGAAAAGTACTGACCTTCCTCAGCTTTTTATGTGGGACAACCAAGGGGTCATTAAAGAGCAAGTCACCCCCTACCAGAGTCTTACTCCACTCCCACTTCATGTTTGAAAAAGGCAACAAATGCGGTTGCCAGGCAGACCGAGAGGACTGAGCCGCTAACAAATACACACATACAGGTTCACAACGACATTAATACATCGTAATATACCAGCTAACTTCATAGGGTGCCTCTTAGACAATGGCGGTGGCAGATTTAAATTCAAATGTAGTGCAGAGTTTTTACCTGATGATGGTGCAAACTTGACAGTTTTACGCTGAATATTTAAATTTTAACTATGATACACTAAAGTGCCAAATTATTGATGACACTTGTCTACAGCACAATTAGACACTCATTTATATAGTTTATAAGCAAAAAAAAAGTTGATTTGAGGGTGAATAGCTCTTTAAGGTCTTTATTTTTTTAAGACAAGAAGGAAGTGGCAAACATTGCAGTTCCACTCTCATCCACTAGGGTCTGGCAGCAGAAGTGAGCAAATCCTCATTGGCTCCCATGTTAAAAATGCCAATTTCACAGCAGAAAAAATACATGTTTATAGTCTGGTTCAAAAACGTTGTAGGTTTAATAGATCTAGTTTACACTCATGACAACTCTGAGGGGGGTGACTTCTTTTGTAACTCTGCTGTTTATTTGGAATAAAATGCTAAAAATTCTCAATAATTAATGAGCATCAGAGTCACGTCACTTCAGAGCTAGCTCCGGAGAAAGGCCTCAGCCTGATGTTGATAGATGTTCGACCATTTCGACTCTCTGAACTTTAGTTTTGTCTGTGTGTTTGGATGTTAATCGTGGAATTATTTGGACAAAGAGGGCAAGCTGTGGTTGTTGAATACACCCAAGCAGTTTCTGCTTCTTTTTATCAGTAAGTAAAATTATATTTCTGTACTGTGAAATACAGAAGACAGGAGTTGCTGGATTCTGAGGGCGTGGTGATTGGACGCCGGCTGGTCCTTGTTACGGGTAATGAGGCCGGAGAGAACAAAAGGGTGGCAGATCTACCAAGCTGTGTGTGTGGTCGACCTGTCATTGTGGCACTGGATTCTGGGGGGTGGGGTCGATCGCAGTCATTTAGGGCTGCCGGCGATGAAGATAGTTGAGCAGGTGGGCAGTGTTCCAGCGATAGGAGGGAAGGCTTGACGCCTTCTTTAGGTAGCGAGGGCTGGGAGTAGTTGGGTGCCGAGACCACGCCGACATCTGCCGCCGCAGACTCTGGCAGCCGGACCTAAGTTGTGGATTTACCCGCCGTCCTCGCAAGCTGCACCCCGGGTTGTTGGACGGTATCGGAAGCTCAGACCCCGGGGAGGGGGTCGCATCAACTGGGACAGCTAAGTACCGCTGCTTGTTTTATTTATGCTGATCAGCTGGCTTTTAGTGTGAAGGACTAGTGTTTTATTATTGCTTGTGATTGTTTTATCATTGCCGGTGTAAATAAAGGCTCTTTTGGATAAGTTGTTGCCTACTGGTGCTGTTTTCGGGTTCTGGCTGGAGGGCAAGATATTCTGCCCGTGCTCCCACTGAAACTTACATTACACTGGTGTCAGGAGTGGGATCCAGCAATCCAGAATGTCAGAACCTGAAAATAACACACCTCCCTCATTGAGCTCAGCTGTAAACCAGCCTGTGAGTGCAGCGGCTCGGCTGATTTTTATGCCTGAAAGTTTTTCTGGTGTTGGCCGCGAATGGGCAGACTGGGCTGAACAATTTGAAATGGCAGCCAATGTAAATAATTGGGATGAGCCCCTTAGATTAAAGTTTGTGTCTTCTTTTGTCTGGCAAGGCTTGAGAGGTTTATAATTGATTGTCGGGAAGTGTTAAAGCTAATTATGCCTCATTAAAAGAGCAAATGGGGAGGTGCTTGGATCCGTGTGACAGCACTGATTGGAATAGAGCCGTTTTCTCCGCTCGACGCAGATGACATAATGAGAGCGTTCATGAATTTGGGATGGCATTACGACAGTCTGTTGTTAAAGCTTATCCGACAGCGGATCACAACACACAAGATCTGTTGGCTAAGGATCATTTTATAGCTCATTTAATGACTTGTGTGCTTCCCGAGGAGTATGCGAGACTGTTCTTCAGCGTGGGGTTTGTACCTCACCACTTTTGGCCTCTTCCTGGGGAATTGCACCCTGCTCTGTCGTTGGAGTCCTTCAAGAATCTGGATTGTTAAATGTAAGGTGGTCTCTGGACGGACCACCGTGCCCTTGAAAAGGGGGGTATGTAACGTGATGGAGGTGCCATTCCACCGAAGGTTATTTACCCTGTCCACAGATGCCTCTGACACAGTACTAAGCTGCATGAGACTGCCTCAAGGTCATACATTCGCTTCTGAACTGCTTTCTTTCCAGCTCAAGAGAAGATTGAAGAAAGGACTCTTTCCCTTTAATATGTAGCGTCACGAAGGGCCTCTAATTTGTGACAAAGGTCACATTTTCCCAGCTGGGTCAAGCTGGGTCAGACGGTAACTTTTGGTTCCACAGATTAATCCAGGAGCCATGATGTCTGCTGAATATCATCTTTATCTGCTCCTGTTCCGTCCCAGAATGGAGGACACTTCAAGTTTCACAATAATAATTTTAAATAATAATTTTAATAAACTTTTGACTTTATTACTGTTATTTCAATCATCATAATAATCTCTTGGTTCAGTAAATGTATTTTAATTACTGAAATTACTTATTATGCTTTGGGTATAATTATGATTATGGTTGATAATCGGTTATGTGTTCAGCCAACCAGAAGGTCATCCTCCATTTTATCCATCCAACGCAGAGGGCTTATCCAGGGTAAAATTTAAACTGCCATCACATGTCTTTACTCATGACCAAGCTTTCTGAGGCTGAGTGGGCGTGTTCTGAGGGTTTGGTTAAAACTAAATTTCCAGCAGCAAAAGTTCAGTTCTTGAACCATATGAGGAGATGAGGGAACGGTCGCCCGAATCTCTACTAAGCCTAATCTCAACTAACCTCCGGATCCACACAGAGGGTCGTCTTGCTGGGTGAGGTAGCACACGAGATGGTGTTTGATGCTGTTCTTCTAAGAAACAACTCAGTTAGCTGCAAAACCATCATTTCCAACACAGAACGCGCTTCTCTCGCTGAAAGAAACCTTCTGAGAACATTCACGCATCCAAAACTCTCATTTCCATTTTAGCTTTCATTCATTCACAGGTTTGCCTTCAAAACAAGTTTTAATATCAAATTGTCTGTTCAAAAATTGTCATTTCTGAAATGTCATTCCAAATTGTCATTTTTAAAAAGTGTTAGTAATAAATTCTTAACTTTAAAAACTTGACTCTCTTCTTGAAATTAAACACAGAATGGTGTGTATTTCTGGTTATTGAAAAAGCAAAGATTCCTTTAACTTCTGATTGAATTAACTATTAAATTTAATTATCTTAAATTAAACATTAATCTTTGAATTAAAATTAGACCGAGCTCGTTGGCATATGAACTTCTATCGAGTATATAATATCCTAGATATTTATTTATAATAGAAGCTTCATTGTTGTCTCGTTTGGGTCTTTTCTCAGAATCTAACAACTGATAGCAAACAGTGTTGATACTAGTATGTACAGTAGATTAACACGCTACAAATAAATCAAAGAACTCTATTTTTAATAAAGCTAATCAAACAAAGCATTAGTCAATAATATAATGTTGACCAATCTGTGAAATAACAATGTTATGATTAATATGCTTTAATAAGTAATATGACTTAATCTAGCTGCACTAGACGTGCTGACTACACGTAATGTAAACGCATGACACATTGCTTTCACTGATCCAATCAGAACCTTCCATTCTGAAGCGTGGCATAGTCTCTGTGATGTTCATAAATCTGCCAACTTTGATTCGACCAGAATTCAAAACATCCAGATTAATAAAACCAGTCCCACGCCATCTTAAGTTCAGTTCTTAAGATCTCACTCAAGTTCTCAACGTCCTCTGAGTTCTCTACAGTTCATTGCAGTTCACCGCATGCTAAGCGAAGTATCGGACCGGCCAGCCGGACTTCCTTTTTAAGCAAAGAACCAACAAGCTGGATAAAATCTGTTGCATTTTACCAACCAAGCAATGGTTCCTTTTAGAATAAAAGCTGAACTCACTGACCCAAGGGGGTCCATCCGACACTGTGAACTAGGGCTGCAACAAACAATTATTTGGATAATCGATTAATCGGATGGGGTCTCGACACGATTAATCGATTAATCGGATCACATGGGGAAATTTTTTAAAACTGCTAGGGAAACGTTATTTCTCTCCTTCCTTCACTTTATTTAACACAACATTATTAGAAAACAGTTCAATAGCAGAAAAACAACATGCCATCACCTAAATTGTCTTATAAGGTGTATAGACAGAGACCCTAAGCTACATCTATCTGTGACCTAAAATGCTTGGTCCAAGTTAAACAGCTTAAGGGCAATTCTCATCTGTTTTGTTTGATCTCATCTGTTAATATTTATTTTAAATGTAATTAAACATAGGCTGTGAATTAATCAAAATTGATCACTATTTCCAAAACTGACTGAAAAAATACCAAATAAAACAAAAGTAAATTAATGCCATCCTCCTTGCGATGATGCCCTGGGCAACTGCCATAAAGTCACATCAAGAAATGCTGCTGATCATTCCAATGATCCCAAATAGACTCACATTAGGCCACATGAAAGCAACTGAACCCAAAAATATATTAACCAGTATATAACTGCACTCTCACACAACACGCCTGCAGCAACAGTTAGGACTCCTCCCTCCCTTTTAAAAGCGTTTTTGCTTCTGAGGACATTGTGGTTGTAAAACCACATGCTAGTAGTCTGGCCCCGGTGTGATCAACCAGTTTCTGCGGGAATGTGACGGCGGAACCAGGGCCAGATTAACACGTTGTTGTACCCTGGGCAACAATATTCAAGGGCTCCATCATCACGACCCAAGGATCACCATAATGTGGTCACATACAGAATATTTTACTGTAATATGCAGTAAATATACTCAATACTTGAATGCCTGACAACACGTAACCCGCCCAGAGTAACCTTTGAACCACCTCGTGTGGACTGACCAATGAGGAGAGGGTCTTAACTTGAGGCCCTCTCTTCATTGGTCAGTCTGCATGAGACTGACTCTCAACTGACATTCAGTCGTAGGCAGCGAAGCGTCTCTGTGCAGCGCAAAAGCCCGGGTGGACAGTTTGTTTAATATAGGGTGATCATATTTCCATTTCCAAACAAGAGGACAGGGGATCTGTGCCTATGACGTCACACTATGGCAACGCCACACAAACCATGTTGGGACCCATTTTTTGTAAGAACT